CATTCCAGCGGCCAGTTACTTCTCTGATACAGCTACCAATAATTTTGCTCTTTTTAAAGATGGGAACCTCATTTCCCTTTCTTTCATCCTCTAGCTTATCCTGTTGGATTTTTCAGAGGTCAGAGAAAGAGGCTCTAAAATGAATCCTTCAAAACTCTTAGGTGGAATTGATTTGGTCTTGGAGACTTAACATTTGTGCTTGTATTCAAAGTCTGACTAGCATGGGATTCGATGGAAATCTGTTCCTTCCCTGCCCAACACAAATCTTCTTTCTTAATTTGACTACTGAGGTGGTGGGAGTGTGCTGTCATACATAACAGATGCACCAGCAATTGAAATCTGCAAATTAAAGCTGGCTTATTTTGAGTGACGGAGCCGTACCTTATGTTCTGCTGATGGCATAATGTAACAGCTCCTCCACTGGCAGATCTTGGGTGTAAGAGTGCAAACCTTGAATATTTAAAGATTGTGAAGCCTTTCAAAAAGATGCTTTTCTTCAGCAGAGATTCAGCTAACATCCACAGGCCCCCTTGATTCTTAAACCAAAATGGATGCTTTGCTTCAGTGTCCTTGTCTTGTTTACCTTCTCTGGGGCTTCATCCCATAACTGCAGTAATTCCAAGTCATCTCATACAGATATAATTTATTTACTGATAGCAGGTAACTCATATCAGTCTTTTTACACTGCAGAAGGCGTTATGAATTCATCAGCCTGAAACGTAAGACATATCTAGGCTTAATAATAGGCAAGGGCATTCTGCTTTTATTTTCTTCCCGAAACTAATTTGGGCAGGGCATATTTCAATGAATTGTAAGTAAAACTTTGAAACAGAAATGCTCACTTATAAAGGTACAACAGTTGCGCAGTTTGTTATTGATGACAAAGTGCCTTGCATAGGATTTTGAACTCAGAATAGAAAAACCATTAGGCCGCACCTAGTGTTATTTGCAAATGATATCCTGTAAGTTCTGAAAACTTACCAGAAGTCTGGTCGCACTTTTTACTGACTAATTCTATTGTAAGGCATAAATCGCAGTTCGCACAAGGATATGCCTTTCAATAAAACGTGTTAGTCACAAAAGGTGCTACTAGACTCCTCCTAATTTTTAGCTTCCGTACAGTGAATAGACTGAAGTTTAATTCTAAGAAAAAGATTTCCAAATGCTCCTTCTGACGGAATGGATGAACCTACATGCATGCTTTTTTATTATAAAGTTTTATTAATTTTTGTTAACAGAATTCAGTAGTAATCATTCAACAGAACGTGTTGTCTGAGTATGTTATTCACTAATACAAATTAAATTCCTAATCCCTAAATCTTTTCCCTAACCACTGATAAAATAGGTCCCAAGTTTGAAAATGTTCTGTTTCTTCTTTTTCTTTCAACCTTAAAGTAAGTCTGTCCATTTCCGCACAATCTAGCGGCAAGAATTATATTTGCACAATACCGGAAGAACGAAGAAACACCACCAGAAGAAATAATCATTAAAAAAATACTAGACCAAACCTTCATGCTTTCTGTTTGTTCTGCCTTTCCAATGTTAAAAAACATCTAGAGCAAAGGTAGTCCGTGTAGTCAGCTAATTCTCAAAGAATACAGTCATGATTCTAATTAGCAAAGTTCTTTTGTCCTTGAAGCCTGTTGTGCTCCATTGTTACAAAATCCTAAGTGTTTTTTTTTAGACCATTCCATTAATAAAGGTTCAGTGTGGTAAACAGTGAGGTGAAATTCTTAGTTACACTAATTGAAGATATTACCTTCCTTGCCACAATAGCTAGCCTCTCATTTACTGCAAGTTTTTAATACTTACATAGTACAGTAACTTTATAGTTGTGTCATTTAGAGTTGGTTTAACATCCAGACTATGATTGAAACAGTTGTTTCTTGCCTTGGTTTGTTTAAGCTACAGTTTAAATTGAATATAATTCCCTAGTTTAAGAGAATATATAATAAGAAACCCCCTAGAGATTTTTTTTTTAAAAAAGCATTATTATTAAACTGTAGTTAATTTCGAACTTTCTCTTAGGTTGTCAAATTATTCTCATGGACAGTTCTATTAATAATCTTTCATTTCTCCATGCAATTAGTTAGTGAGATTAAATGGCAAGTTCAAAGAGAGGCAGAAAAGCTACATCCACATTCTCTCATCCAGTGCCAAGAATGAAAGTACCATGTCAGCTCTGTTCTTTCCAGGGATGTCGGCAAAGATGCAAATAAAGAATGGATGAACTTCAGTTGCATTGTGGTGTCCACCAATTTTAACATTCTTTGACTACACCCTGCAGATATCCTAGTCTGTAAGTCAAGATCAGGAAAGTGAGCTCTCAGCAAACCACCATACTGAGCTAGAGTAATTCAACAAAGTGTAGTCATTAAACCAGAAGGTGTGGTCAAAGTTGAATTTTTTGTGATGTTTCAAAACGAATATCAGCAAAAAGTACAGAGAGAAGCTTATTCCCAATTAAAAAAGGAGAGCTGAATTTCACCCACATTCCTTTTCTCTGTGCAATGGTGTATTTTTATTCTCCAAAGTATTTCTGTAAGAACATTGGCATTTTAATAAAGGCTGTCATGTTTGCCCCGAATTCCTCTTTCAGTGTTGCCATAATAATAACATATACTGTGGTACTAGCTTATGCTGAGAAGTTAAAAATGTTAGCTGATTAAAAATAAGGAATTAGGGGAAGTGCTAATGACTTGAACTTTATTGTGTACCTATCAGTGGCACTTTTCACAAACGTTTGCATGATTGTGATTTTTTCTCTCTAACAAATTGAAAAATCTGATTAACCACCCTGTTAGCTAATATAAGCGTCTTTGCCTCGGAATTGCCTATGTCTTCAGCCAGGGTTTAGTGATGTAAAATAACACACTGTGTAATTACTTTGAAATTAATTGAGGATGCTTTCCTCACCTCAAACAAATTCTGCTATAGTTTGATTGCCACAACAACCTATTTCAAAAGAGTCAGTGATTTATTCCTTTTTGCCTTGAAGGAGCACAAACTCAAGTAACCTAACTGCTCATACTACTACACAGTTGAGCCTTGATAACTTCCTGATACTAAAAAGTTGGAGACATAGGCATTCTTTTGACAATTTGCTTACGTATTTTGGCTTTTATTTCAATAGGATATCCTTAGAGATTTACTTCCAAACAGGCAGTCTCTTTCATAGGCCAGTTGCTTTTAAAATATTTTTTTTCTCATTTTGTACCATATATTACTTGCATACTTGTGGATTATGAGGATACAGTGATACCTTGGTACTCATCATTAATTGGTTCTGGGAGGCACAATGAGTACCAAAAACAATGCATACCAAACAGATTTTTCCCATAAGAAATAATATACTGAGTCACAAGTCAGCCGACACTGATAAGTTCTAGCTTGTGTGTTGAGTACCAAACAAACAATTGAGTACCGGGACAACATTTTCACATCAAAATGCATTGAATACCAAATTTGATGAGTCTCAAAGTAGTTGAGTACCAAGGTACCACTGTATTTGGTGTGTGAACACTCAAGGTTTATGCTTTTAAAGATCCTACTTAGTACCACACAATTAATAAGCCACGCAATTAATTTAATTAATATTACTCTCTTTGCTGGCTATTTATTGTTGTAGTGGAAATAAAACAACAGCTGTCCAAAATAATGTGTTTTTTTTCAATATCAACATCAAAGTTATGAGATTATTTTCTGATTTCCCGTTGAAGCTTGCGCTTCATATTTTCTTAAAAGGGAAGGCATATATCATCAAAATCCTATCAAGATGAATACAGAAATAAAAAAAATCAAAACAAGTGAATCACCCAGTAATAAAATATTATAACAGCTGAGCACTAATTAAAAATAATTAGATGTTATGTACAACTTTCTCAAATTCCCTATAGTATAAACATACCAACTGAAAGAAAGTATGTAGGATATACATGTGTGCGTGTGTTTGTATACTCCGTATCATTAAAGGACGGGCATTCAACCAACACTGTTTGAGTACAAAAATGGGAGGGCTGTATTGTCACCTGGCTGTAACCGGTCCTGTTCTCTCATTGGGTGCCTGAACTTAAGTTTGAATGATCTAATTGTATATCTTGAAAATACGAAAGATTCTTAAGAACGTATCAGTGCTAACGACCAAGCAAAAAGCAAATCAAACATACTGGCTGTGTTTGCACAAACTAGTCAACCCATTTTAGTTTGGAGTTACGTTGTGGCAACTCTTGTGTATTCAACTGTTGGGGAACTCTTGTGTATTCAATGTGTCATGCAAACCCAAGAAATTGCAGATGTAATGGTTTGTTTAATTGGTAAACGGATTATGCAAATGTAGCCATCAATTGCTATCCATCAATCATGTAAGTATTGTAAATGGCCAGGATTCATTTTTGTTGAGTCTTGCATTATGGGAGCACCATAAATGAATAAATAAAGTGAGCGGCATGGTAGAAGCTTAGAAGCCCTCCAAAGTTAAATGCTTGTGGTTTTTTCTGAAGAGGCTGAAAGAATTTTAATCCTGTTGGGGAAAAATTGATTTGAATGCAGGCTGGGGAACAATATCAATTCTTAGGCTGGCCGTTGAACTGTGGTATAACTGAACATTGAGGAATGGAGCATGTCATTTCCCTTCGTGAATGTTAACCTACTGTTTAGCTCTGGATTTCTGAAAGTAGATAGGAAAACTATGGAACAAAATATGGAGCTGCATCACCTGTTTTTATGTTGTCTTTCCTTTCCTATCACTTATCCTGTCCTACTGTCTTACAAGTATATGGAATTAAGCTACTCTGAGTGCTTTATTTTAAATAAATCTCTTGTTAGGGATTCTGCTTCACTTGAATCAGTTATTTTTAATGATAGTGGAAAAAGAAAAAGAGAAGGTTGCTTTAAACTGCTGGTAGAGCAACAAGGTTGATTCTTATTGACTAGGCCCATATTAATAAAATATCTTTGCAATTATCTTCCCCTAAAATGAGTTTTCTATTTCAATCTTACAGTGTCCAAAAAACACGGCAAGCTTATTACTTTCTTGCGTACATTCATGAAGTCTCGACCAACAAAGCAGAAACTGAAACAGCGTGGGATCTTAAAGGAGAGGGTGTTTGGCTGTGATCTTGGAGAACATCTTCTCAACTCAGGCCACGATGGTAAGAAAAAAACAAGACATGGTTTATTTAAAAGGACCACCACAGCATCACTTCTGAAAGAAACTTGGGTTTAATTATGATGAATTCTATATGAGCATTAGAATATTCTATCTCCAGTACTTCAATCTACATCTTGATATTTATTAATGATGAGTCAGTAAACAACTTACGGCATAGAGCAGGGGTTTTCAAACTTGGCCCTTTTATGACGCGCTGGCTGAGGAATTCTAAGAGTTGAAGTCCACAAGTCATAAAAGGGCCAAGTTTGAAGACCCGTGGTATAGAGTGATGTCCAATTAGTGCTTCAGTTGTCTGATGGAAAATGTCTTCTGGCCTGTCCATTTTACCTACATCTTCTCCAGGAGCGGGAATGAGTGGGGGAGGGGACAAACAGTACATTCTTGCTCGAGTGAAACTTTGCATATACATAATTAGCTATAAGCCTACATGTCTAAGATTTCCTTCAGCTGATAGATCATATCTGAAACATTTACATTATTACATGTAGACTTTCGTATAACATGTATAACGAATCCACCCTGCTTGTAATTTTGTATTTTGAGATCAGACAGAGGTCTTTTGCTATTTTTATAGTGTTTGTTTAGAAAAGAACCGGATCTTTAAATTTTCCCAGAAGCTACAAATATTAAAACAAACAAACAAACTAGTTCAATAGATGATTTCAGTGTCTTTAATTAAACCCTCCCATCCTATCCCCCCCTCATCCTTTCTTTTTTGCCATTACTGGGAAAAAAGTATATTGATATAAATAATACCCTAAGCCAGGGGTAGGCAACCTTGGCTCTTTTAGGACTCGTGGACTTCACATGCTGGCTCAGGAATTCTGGGAATTGAAGTCCGCGAGTCCTAAAAGAGCCAAGGTTGCCTACCCTTGCCCTAAGCAGTGGATTCATCAGGTGTCAGAATGCATGTTATTATACCTTCTGGCTTATGCTTTAAGGTAAAGTCCTTCATACATGGCATATACAAACATGAGATGGGCATACAGAGTTAGCAAGCAAACAAATATATAAATATACAGCAATAATTGAGTTCCGTTGTACTTGGGCATTTGTATGAATAAGGAATCTGGAACTACAGACAAACATAGTTAAAGGAGTAAGAGGAACTAAAAAGTTATTCATATTGCTATGCTGTGAAAGAATCCTTGGTCCCTACTATAGAATTACAGCATCATGTGCAATTTGTTATTCAGCAGCTTGATTTAGAATAATGGTTATTCACCTCAGGGAAAGAAGGAGCGGAGTAATCCTCTGTAACATTCCTTATAAGAGTGTCATATGCTTGGAATATCAATTTTATTTAAAGTTGGGTGATTGTCTGGTGGCACAGTGGTTAAAGTACATTATTGCAGGCAAACTCTGCCCACAGCCTGGAGTTCGATCCTGATGGATTGATGGACTCAGCCTTTCATCCTTCTGAAATGAGGACCCAGATTGTTGGGGGGGGGGGCAAAATGCTGCTATTGTGAACTGCCAAGAGAATGCTGTAAAGTGCTATGGGGCGGTATATAAGCCTAAATGCTATTGCTATTGTCTAGTAATCTATGACTTTTCCATGTTCTCAAGTCAGACTTCACCAAAACATTCCTCTGAGTATGTGCTACTCCAGTGGTAGTGAATTAAACCTTGAGGAAGACATAGAGTTCAGACAAACTAGTCTTGTGAGTTATTCCTTAAGGTGTGCCCTTAAGATGTCTTAATGATGCTGTTACTCTTTGTTGTTTCTTGCCTTCTTCCATACTTAGACTTTATTTCATCCTGTGGACATTTCATCTTGGGGAATTCACCCTAGATATAAGGCTTATGCAATTAACACAAATCATTTTTGCTTAATTATATAATGCCCCAGGGGGCACTAAGACAGGTTTCAAATTCCTCGTGCCTTTTTTTTGGCTCAAAGCCTGCGTACATTCCACAGGAACATTAAATGTTTGATTGGATGAACACCTGCACTGTGATAGCTATGGAAAGCAACAAAAGCGTTTTGGCTGACTCTTAAGTGAGTAGGTTACTTCCTGTAGTTCACCTTGGACGTAACAATAAGGGAAGGAACTTTAATCACTTTTATTTGGCTCTTCCTGCCAGTTGAAGCAACTAAGTACCCCGTGAACCATCTCTACCAATGGACTGTATAATATTAAGTCTGAACAGGAGGTTCAACTATTTTCTTTCTGAAGAACCCAAAAATCACAAAATAGGAATAAACCATGACTTTGCCTTCAATCGTCCAAGCAATGCAGGAGACTTCAGCACATACTTGTAATTTGTGGCAACAGTACTGGTTTCAGTGCAAACAGCAAATCCTTCACGTTGACCAAAAAAAAAAAAATACAATATTTGCCGATCATAGTGCCTAATTCAGTGTGGCGAATGTTTTAGAGACTGAGTGCCCAAAATCTGGCCCCGCCCCCATTCTACCCCTGCCCCGCCCTTGCCCCACCCCATCCCCCACCCTGCCTGCCCGCAGGGTCACTCAACCGCCTCCAGGGCCCACGGCAGATGTCCAGGCAGCCCAGCAGCGCCATGGTGGCCACGCCCTCTGCTTGCCCCCCGCAGCATCAACTGTGTGTGATGGGGCGTGAGAGCAGAGTCTTGTCTACACTGCCTGGCTGCCATGCCCTTGGCTGTGCTGCTTCACGTGGGCCACGCTCGGGGGCGACTCTCCTCCAGGAGGGCTGCTGGTGAGGAGGGGGTCACAGGGGAGGCGAGGCTGGGGTAACAGGATGTGTGCCCACTCTCTGGCATGCGTTAGCCACCACTGGCCTAGTTAGTGGTTTTTCATGGTGATAACTTTCTACATTAGTTCTAAAATTTCTAAAATTGAGGAGTAGAAATAGTTGGTTTTCATAGGGCAAGAAGATGACGTTGTGCTGTATCCTTACTACTTAAACAGGAAAACCAGGTTTTCTCAGTCCCCTACCACTTACCTTGACTTACCACCATAACTGAGACTAGAATTTCCATTGTTAACCCAGGCAATTATTAAGTGAGTCACACTCAATTTTATAACCTGTTTGCCATGGGTTGTTAAGTGAATCACTTACAGTTCATAACATAGTTATTAAGCAAATCTGGATTTCCCCTCGTCCTTCTCTTCGTTAAACTAAACATACCCAATTCCAGTAGCCTTTCCTCATATGCTTATGGTCATATTTTTTCTTACAGCAGAAATATTTCACGCTTGCAAGAAATGTGGTCATTAATGATCCAAGCAGAAAGGTTTTTGTTTTTTTTAATTAGCCCTTTTCTAATCTTCATTTTTGGAGATTTGTAAAGAATAAGTAATAACAAAGATTTCTGATTCATAGAGGTGCAACTGTAATAGGCAGCATAAAATGGCTTGAGCAACTCAAGGCAGACAGTCTGAGTTTAGAAAGCCTGTTGTCTTGGAATTAATCTTGCTTAACTGCCAGCTCTAAAGTCCATACAAATCACCAAAGTAATCCCTGTCAGTTGGGCCTTAACAAGACATTTTAAAACATTTCTCCTGTCACTTATAATCGCTTACAAGCTGTAATATGTTTTTGTTATTACCCAAATTATTGTTAGGCTAGTTTAGGCCATTTTTAGCAAATAGATGTGCATATTAATTCTAAAAGCAGGATTGAATTTGGGATTATGAAGCAGTAAACTAAGACCAGTTACAGTGGTTACAACCTTAAGCGGTAGTGTTGGATAAAATCTTGAAAGTATTAAGCATGGCTAAATTCGGTCCGTCTGTGATATTTAGGCACACAGCTCCTTATTGCCATTGATTTTGAGCATCTGGATATTTATTTTAAGATGTTCCTGATAACCCTGAAACCGCTTTCAAAGTAAACAGGTTGGGCAGGATTGGCTTAGTGGTAACTATGGAGTTGCTGAGGGTGAGGGAGACACAGGAAGATTGGTTGTAGACTTGGAGGGAGACGTTTTCACACACACAAACACACACAGAGAATGACAGTAAGAGGCAGGATGGCATTATAGCTATTTAATACAGGTCTCTACTTTGGACCAGTTTCTGCCCAGGGACCTAGAGCAGTGGTTCTCAACCTGTGGGTCGGGACCCCATTTGGGGTCGAATGACCATTTCACGGGGGTCACCAAACCATGCTGTCCGCCATTTTTTCCCTTTTCCCTAGCTGTCCTACTCCCTCTTATTGGTGGCCACACCCGCTTGGGGGTCACCACAACATGGGGAACTGTATTATGGGGTCACGGCATTAGAAAGGTTGAGAATCACTGACCTAGAGGCTGCATTGCTGGAAGGTTGACTTCAGGCTATTATTGATAAAGTTTAGCTTCACCTAGAATAAGATCCATATACAACATAGCGGTAGATGAACAGGAAGACCTACAGGTAGCTCTCACTTGATGTGATGGTATGTGGGAATGACTTTGGGAAATGGAGGAAGATATGTTGCCTAGGGGAGTATTAGATTGCAGGGAGGAACGGAGCCCACAACTGCATAACAGACAGGGAAGAAACTCAGAAAGGATTCTCCCTAACTTAAAAGATTCCCTTGGCTAATTGTTTCTGACTCTAGGGTTCAATGCTGATCTTTGTTTCCTAGCCAGGGGAGCCAGTGTTGACTGAAGATGATGCTTCTGTGGTCATGCAGCTGACATGACTATACTTCGAGACTCACGGAACGCTGTTATTAATCTCCCTAACTTGCTGGCTATAAAAGGAGATGGTGGGAGATTTGTATTTTGAGACTTGTTAAGATTGACGCCAGCCTTCCGAGGTAGACCAGAGAGGAAACACAGCCAGATGAGCTAATTATACTTTATTGTAAGGCTACCTTAACAGAATCTTGAGTGGTCCTACCTTGGGGCAAGAATCAAGCTGGGTGACCTTGGGCCAGTCACTTTCTCATAGCCCCTGGAAGGGGGCAGTGACAAACCACTTCTGAAAAATTTCAGCAAGAAAACTGCAGGGACTTGTCTAGCCAGTTTCCAACAATTGGGCATGATTGAACAGAATTTAAAAAA